GAATGTGATCACCTTGTGATTGTCAAATATAATCATGTTGCGTTATATCTAATCACGTAGTCAGAAACAACCCCTTGATTCTTCCGTCGCAAGTTGCGATGCTTATATAGAGTAAGAATTGGGATGTACGCACCGATACTTGAATGACATGGGTTTGAATCCCAAAAATGGTGGATCTCATGGTGGGGTATGAAATTCTGGCAAGCACACGATGGATTTTATTATAGATGTTATGACATCCACTGTAACACAGGCTAGTGCAGCTAATGATAAGCTGAAAAAGGAAAGCAGTAAATAACACCAGTAATTGTTCACCCAGTTCAGTGTCAACCACACTTACATCTGGGGGCTACCAAGCCAGGGAGGAAATTCACTATCAATAGAATTAATTCAGAGCCAAACAATCCCAGTTTGCACTCTTTACTTAAGACCTACCCAATGACACTTCAGCCTAGAGACCACTAGACCAGAGTTTCCCACTCACTCCCCCTCAATCACCTCAGTGATATCAATACACAATTACACAAGAAATATGAAGATACACTTCAAACACACCTTGATCTTGCTTCACAGCTTTGATCAAGTGACACACACTCTTGCTTGACAGCTTTGAGGGACACAATGAACACACCTGTTCATACATAATAACCATAGCAATTGTACAACATACACTTGCTTGGCACACAAGAAATCCTATTCCTAGACTCACGTGAAGAACAAAGTTCTTCACTCACAAATCCCACTCTATGATCTCTCACTAGGAGCTCTATTCTCTGCGTGTCTGCCCATTAAGAATGATCCTTCTCCTATTTATAATAGGAGATATGCTTTGGGCCTTGGTAGAGAATTTAGGTTTACCCAAGATAAACCTTTCTTCATGAAGCTGCGTACTTATCATTAGGTCAGGAGCCTTCTATGTTATCCTCAACAATGCCTGTTATGTTGCCTAAAGTAACTATGCTTCCTGGATTGTTTCCTGAATTATAGCTTGAGCTAATAACAGAAAAACAAACCTGCGCGCCCTGATGTCATACGATCAATGTCATAACATTCAGTCATGACATTCAGCTTCACTTACTCTTAGCTTTCCTTGCATAACACTCTTCATGTATGTCATAACACCAGTTATGACATTTACTCATACCTTAATGTTTTGCCATAAAATGAAGCCAATCAAAAGCATCTATAGGGTAAAAGACTTGAAATGGGTTAATTGTCCCATAGGAAGCGATGATTCTTAAGGTGGATATTATCCCTTAGAATTCGAAGTCCATGCGTATGTCAAATTATGAGATAAGTATTCGTGAATTGAGTCGATAACTCTAGATGTAGGGTTGGCCCAAGAAATATGCCTATGATACAAGGATCTCTGACCCATGTCGATAATCCTAGACGTAGGATTGACCGGGGAAAGATACCTTGGTATGGTTTCTGATTAGTGATTGTTTGAGTAAATAAACTCAATAGACTGTTATCATACATTGCGAGATTTATGATCATCAAGTTTTGTTACTTTGACTTGAGTTAGGTTTTGATTAGAACCTTGTAGAGCCGAGTGAACCTATAAGATATGGGAACTCACTAAGATTATCATCTCACCCCAATATTGTTGTTGCTTTTCAGGTTTTGTTTGCAGGTTTAAAATACAAGAAGAGTTTTGCATTGATGTTTCAAGAGGTGTTGATTATTGCAATCTTCCGCTGTGTATCTTGTACAATGACGAATATTGTACTTATATCTTAAATTTTTTTAATTCTTGGAACTTTCTGTATCTTATACCATATGATGTATTTTATTTTTGTATATTGGTAAAGTATGTAAATGATGCCAATAGGCAATTATGATTGTGTCAGTACAAATAATAACACTTATAAGATATATATATATATATATATATATATATATATATATATATATATATATATATATATATATATATATATATATATATATATATATATATATATATATATATATATATATATATATATATATATATATATATATATATATATATATATATATATATATATATATATATATATATATATATATATATATATATATATATATATATATATATATATATATATATATATATATATATATATATATATATATATATATATATATATATATATATATATATATATATATATATATATATATATATATATATATATATATATATATATATATTACGGGTTGTTACAGTTGGAATGCATGAACTCAGGTATTAAAAAAAGTATGGACGATAGACTTTCATAGTCGACTTGTGACATATCATACAAATAATAATGAGATAAGCCTCATAACCCCTAGTCCCTAATGAACTACTCACCCATGGTGAGGGAAAACACAATCAAATCGATATTCATGATCAGATTCATAACAAACAATTGAAAATAGATAAGTAATTGAATTTAAAATGATAAGGAAAACTTTATTGAATAAACCTAGGTCCAGTTCTCCAATGGAGACTTGAGTACATAGAGAATGCAAAACACGTAGAAACTTAGAAATTAACATTTAGATCCCTAAACTCAAGACTAGATGCGAGTTTTATAGAAAAATCTAAACTAAGATCAATATCTCACTTATTAATAGTCATTACATCAAAAAATATCATACCTAAACATGCCAAATTCCAAAAACAGATGAAATCGAACCAAAAAATGAAACAAATCAAGAGGTAACTCGCCCTTCTGCTACGACCCGTTGCATCTGCTAGTGATTGATGTAACATGCCACTTCTTTTTGCACGGCTCTTCAAAATGAAGGGGATCCCTAGGACTTGGCTGCTACGGCCCGTATCAGCTACTATGGGTGGCCACAACAACCTTCTAGATATGGAGATTTTCCGACTTTTGATGTTTTCCCGCACTTTACTCATTTTTTGTTCCTCTTTCGCCTCAAATACTTATTAAAACCTAAAAACAAAAAAACACACTATCAAAGCATAAAATACGCTAAACGGAAGTAAATTATACATAATACGGTAAAGTAATGAGGTAAAATAACTAGTAAAAACAATACGAAAAACACTTATCATTTTCCCAAGCAACTGCAAGTTTCATCCCTTCTTAGAGTGAATGTTTTATATTCTTAAAATTCTGGTTTTGTACTTTGTTGAAAAGAATCATGTTGCGTTAAAACCATAATTCCTCTTTTTTTCCCCTCAAATTATGAATTGGGTGTAGTGTGGTGATAATCATACTTAAATTTAAAAATTAATTATATCTATGGGCTTTATCTTTCATTTAACATAAGGTACGTTATGTTTTATCTTGTTACTAGGGCTTACACCTTATTAGTTTGTTGAAGGTATGAAGAAGAAGGAAATTCATGTGGCAAGAATATGGCACATGTATCCATCTGAGGTGTGTACATGACTTTTCTTTTTAAATAATAAATTCAAGAAGTAATTAGTATGTTATAACCACCTATGATTGAGCATAATTATTTGTTTAAGCTTTCTGACACTTTTTGTGTGTTGGTTATAGGTGCTTGATTTTTCTTTTGAAGTATAATAGGTTTTAGTTGATGGTAAGTCAGTTGATATCTGTATACAAAAGATGCATACTTAAAAGTAAACTATGTCACACTTAATCACACACTCACATATATTAAAACTTTGCTTTATATTTTATTATCTCAGCGCATGTCAGTAATTTATAAATTCTTCAATCTTTCTGCAGTTGAATTTAGGAAATCCTTGCGCTTTAGGTTAAGGCTAATGATTTTAGAAGAAATGTGGATGGTTTCAATGAAGGGCTTTTGAAGAGATGCTACTGTAATTGTTTTGGAATCATTATTGTTTTAGGGTGATTTTATTCTATGTGTATGTTTGATTCTACGTGAGAATTGATTAGGAAATGTTATATTATTTTTACACATTTTAACGATTTGCGGGGACTTTCAACCTTTAAAAATAAAACCCTTACATTTTAAATAAAATACTTTTTTTTATGCTGACTTAACTTCTTAAAAAAATATCTTGATGACATGCCATTAAGGCGAAGTTAAGGGAACAATTTAACGGCAAGGACCAGTTTGACTAACGGAACAATTTTTAAGGGACTAGGTAGTAACATTTATTAGATAAGGGACTAGAGTTAAATATGAAATTAAGTTAAAAGACTTTGACATTAAGCCTAAGTTTTTTATACAAGAATCTAAATAGATATTCGACTTCTAAGAATTAACTATAGATATATAAAATTTATTTTGATATATTTGATTGCTCTTGAGTAGAATTGATTATGTTTTTTTAGAATTGATTCTCCTTTTAAAGTTAGAGTTTGTGATTTTTTAAATTTAAACACAATTTTTAGCATGAAACTTACTATTCAACTCAATTTGTACAATTTTGTAAGTATTCATCCAAACATCAATCAATTTATCTTCAACTAATTTTTAATTAGAATCAATTTTAAAAAACCAATTTACTTATAATCAAAATTTTGGACTGCAACAATGCCTTTTTTAAAGAAAGATAAAAAGGTTTTAAGGGCGGCAAGTTGTCGAGTCATACAAAATTAAAATTTAGGAGGGTGACTGATATTAGTGGGGCAAGGTGCACTAGAATATTAAGCCCAAGAAAAGGATTTTGGGCCAAGTTTTAGATGGTGGGCCAACTGTTTCAGATGATCCTATTAAACAGTTCTCCCAGCCTTCTTATTTTATAGCTCTGAATTATAAGAACCCAAATACCTCTTCTTTTTCTTCTTTTCTTAAAGGCAAGTCAGAGGAGTCGAATATTTTGTCAGCTGGAGCGGTTATGTGTTGCGAGCCAACAAAAGGTTCGGATGTGCGATTGTGTAATCCAAAATTTTGGAAGAATCTGGACTCTAATGTTGGGGAAAAAGTATGGAATACGGTCTTTAAATTGGGGTGGTGCCAAAGGATAGGAAGATGGATTATTCGAAAAAGATTGCGGATGTGGAAGCTAAAGATAAGGCTATTTTCAATGGAAAGAAGGTGAAATTAAATGGAGCATCATGATAGTCAGATCCTTAAATATCAGAGGAGGAGGCAATTATTCTAAGAGAAGAAGGATAATTTGCATCATTAATTCGGGTAAGGCATATATTTTTCTGATTCAAGAATCTAAATTGAAGGAGGTTGATCGCAAAGTTATTGGGAATTTATGGAATAACCAAGAGGTGATTTGGTATTTTAATAAATCACACGGTCAATTCAAAGGGATTATTACAATGTGGAATGAGAATTCGATTCAGTGTGTTTTCACTTTCTCAGGGGAAGGTTTCTTGGGTGTCAAAGTGGTGTGGAAGAATGAGTTTTACTATGTGATCAATGTGTATTCTGGTTGTTCCATCAACTCAAAGCGTAAGTTATGGGTTGAGCTTTGTTTGTGCAAAAGGAAGTGGTTAAATGGTAAATGGATTATAGGTGGGGATTTCAATGCTGTTTCTAATTCCTATGAATGAAAGGGCACTTCGTTTACTCTTAAGTCGACAGAGGTAAGGGAGTTCTTAGGGTTTATTAGGGGCTTGGATCTTGTTGATCTTCTGGTGTCGGGTTTCACTTGGTATAGTGGGAATGGTAGAGCGATGAGTAAGCTTGATAGGTTCTTGGTGGATGCTTCTTTCATTAGTAGGTAGGGTTTGATTGAGTAGAGTATTGGGAAGAGGGACATTTCTGACCATTTTCTTATATGGTTGAAGGTGACACTACACCAAAATTGGTTTTTGACAACACTACATAGACAACACCTTTTCCCCAACGCGCTGCTATAAGTTAAAAAAAATAAAACTATGAAAAAAAGCGCTGCTAAAGGCTAACTTTAGAAAGCGCTTCTGAAAAGCGCTGCTAAAGGTCATACGTATGCTACACCTTAGAAAGTGCTTTTGGAAAGCACTGATAAAGGCTAACTTTAGAAAGAACTTTTGAAAAATGCTACTAAAGGCCATTCATAGATCACACCTTAGAAAGCACTGCTATAACCCGAAGAAAAGAAAGCGCTTTTAATGCAAAAGCGTTGCTAAAGTTAATACATAAGAAAGTGCTTTCAGAAAGCGCGGCCTTATGTGATTAATTTCTAAATAATTAATAAAACACAAACTATTGAAACTCTTACGAACCCTAACTTTGAAACTCTCTCTCTCTCTCTCTCTCTCTCTCTCTCTCTCTCTCTCTCTCTCTCTCTCTCTCTCTCTCTCTCTCTCTCTCTCTCTCTCTCTCTCTCTCTCTCTCTCTCTCTCTCTCTCTCTCTCGACTACTCCCTCCATTGTATCTCCCTCTCTTCGCGACTACTCCCTCCGCCTTAACTCCCTCTCTTCGCGAGTACTCCCTCTACCATAACTCCCTCTGCCATAACTCCCTCTGTCTCAGAACTCCCTCTGTTTGTAACCCTCTCTGACCGACTCTAGTTCTGGACATACTCCCTGTGTTCGTCGGCTCCACCGGTTTCGTTTTGAAACTCCTTCTTTTTGAGCAAGGTATTTCTTCTTTTCCTTTTTTTTGGATTCTCAAGCCATATAATAGATTGTGATATTATTGTTATTTGAATTCAATTGAAGCTTGAACGACATTGTTGGTGAATTAGTGTTGAAGACGTGAAGTTAATGATATTAATTATTGGAATTAATTGATGAGTTTGTTTGTTGTTGAAAAAATTGAAATGAGACATTGATAGTGTTAATGTGGTTGTTGTTTGAATTTGATTTTGAAATTGTTGTTGTAGTAAGGTTGAAGATGATGAATAGTGATATTTGTGGTGAATTTATTTTTATAATTGGTGTTAATTTTGTAAGTTGATGTTGATTGTTAGTGATGAATTATTGAAATTAATTGATGGTAATGACATTGTTGATGGATAATTGTTAGTGATTACTTTGTTTTGATCTAATTGTTGATTGAAAATGATAATGAAATTAATTGTTAATTGTTTAGGTTGAAGATTATGAATAGTGATGAAATTAATTGTTAATTGTTGAGGTTGGAGTTGCTATTGAGTTTTAATGTGGAATAGATAATTTGGGTGATTGATTTATGCTCAAATTGATGATTCTTTGTTGGATAGAACTTTGAAGTTAATTGAACTTAACTGATGAAGTTGTTTTTTGTGACTTACTTGAGTTGAAACATTAAGTGTTGATGTGTCATTTATGATGAATCAAAGTATACCATGCTACTTGAATTAATGTGATTGAATTTGCGCGTCGATGCCATGTTACTTAATTGAAGGAAGTGTTAATGTTTACTAAACTTGATTCTTGAGATATTGATTTGTTTCTCTAATATATCTTGTTTTTCCTATTATATACTAAATTTGTCATGTTATATTTGATACACCATCAGTTACTAACTTAGTGAATTTGGTATAGGGGTTACTTGTGAAGAGTGAAATTCTGATCGTTTCCAAGAATCTTACATTGTGTGGTCCAGAAGTTGTTGACTTCTCTATAGGTAATTAGTTGTTCTTTTGCTATAGTTGCGTGAATAATTAGTGTTTTTGTTTAGCTTACTTAGTAAAACCATGGATAAAAATTGAAATGAGACATTGAAGCTAATGATATTAATTATTGGAATTAATTGATGAGTTTGTTTGTTGTTGAAAAAATTGAAATAAGACATTGATAGTGTTAATGTGGTTGTTGTTTGAATTTGATTTTGAAATTGTTGTTGTAGTAAGGTTGAAGATGATGAACAGTGATATTTGTGGTGAATTTATTTTGATAATTGGTGTTAATTTTGTAAGTTGATGTTGATTGTTAGTGATGAATTGTTGAAATTAATTGATGGTAATGACATTGTTGATGGATAATTGTTAGTGATTACTTTGTTTTGATCTAATTGTTGATTGAAAATGATAATGAAATTAATTTTTAATTGTTTAGGTTGAAGATGATGAATAGTGATGAAATTAATTGTTAATCGTTGAGGTTGAAGTTGCTATTGAGTTTTAATGTGGAATAGATAATTCTGGTGATTGATTTATGCTCAAATTGATGATTCTTTGTTGGATAGAACTTTAAAGTTAATTGAACTTAACTGATGAAGTTGTTTTTTGTGACTTACTTGAGTTGAAACATTAAGTATTGATGTGTCATTTATGATGAATCAAAGTATACCATGCTACTTGAATTAATGTGATTGAATTTGCGCGTCGATGCCATGTTACTTAATTGAAGGAAGTGTTAATGTTTACTAAACTTGATTCTTGAGATATTGACTTGTTTCTCTGATATATCTTGTTTTTTCTATTATATACTAAATTTGTCATGTTATATTTGATACACCATCAGTTATTAACTTAGTGAATTTGGTATAGGGGTTACTTGTGAAGAGTGAAATTCTGATCGTTTCCAAGAATCTTACATTGTGTGGTCCAGAAGTTGCTGACTTCTCTATAGGTAATTAGTTGTTCTTTTGCTATAGTTGCGTGAATAATTAGTGTTTTTGTTTAGCTTACTTAGTAAAACCATGGATAAAAATGGATGTCTTCCAATCGATTTTCAAAAGAGTACGAAAATAGGGTATCAGAACTCGTTAAGTTTGTTGTTGAACACACCAAAGACCCTAGTCGAATCACATGTCCTTGCTTAGGTTGTTGTTATGGGTGTCATATTGACACAATTCAGTTGGAGTCGCATTTAAAGAGGCATGGAATTGAACGAAGTTATACATGTTGGATATTACATGGTGAGATAAGTAACGAGAGTGTTGAACCGAGGGATAATACGACCTATGCTTCAAACGAATATGACACAGATATATACGATTGTGATCGAGTCAAAGAGATTGCAGAAGCACTTGAAGAAGATCTCAAGATTATCCTAAAATGTTTGAGAGGTTAGTAAGCGATGCAGGGAAACCGTTGTATAAAGGTTGCACTAAACTCACAAGATTGTCTGCGGTATTAAAGTTGTACAACTTAAATGCGGGCAATAGATGTTTGGATAAAAGTTTCATAGAGTTATTAACCCTTATGAAAATATGCTTCTGGAGGATAATGTTCTTCTCAATCGAACCTATGAGGCCAAAAAAATGTTGTGCTCTATTAGCATGAGCTATGATAAGATACATGCTTGTCCAAATGATTGCATTTTGTTTCGAAATAAATATGCATCATTAAATGAGTTCCCTAAATGCGGTGTCTCTCGATATAAGACGCATGTTTCATAGTGAAACCGATGCAAAACACTTGACTTGGCATGCGGATGAAAGAATTATATATGGAAAGTTTCGACATCCAACAGATTCACTTGGCATTATCTACTGATGGAATGAACCCACATGGTCTTCAAAGTATCTCACATACCACATGTCCTGTGATTATTATGATTTATAACCTACCTCCATGGCTATGTATGAAGCGTAAGTACATGATGTTATCTATGTTAATTTCTGGGCCTAAAAAACCAAGGAATGACATAGACGTATACTTGACACCTTTAATCAAATATTTAAAGATTTTGTGGGAGAACGGTGTGGAGGTTTATGATGGATATATGAAAGAAAGTTTCAATTTGAGGGCGATGTTTTGTGGCATAATTAATCATTTTCTAGCATACAGAGATCTATTAGGGTATAGTATTAAAGGTCAATGTGTGTGTTCTATTTGTGAAGAAAACACATATTGGACGTGATTGGAATTTTGTCAGAAGAATATATTTTTCGGTCATCGTAGATTCTTAAATTCTAATCATCACTACCGTGGGTGGAGAAAAGCATTCAATCAAAGTCCAGAACAAGGTAGAGCACCACCTACATTGACAAGTGACAAAATTTTTGAAAAGGTGAAAGATGTGAGTACTCAGTTTGGTAAGCCTTTTGCACATACGCTTGTCAAACGTGGGTGAAAGAAGAGGTCAATTTTTTTTTTTTAATTTCCATATTTAAAGTCATTGTATGTAAGACATTTTCTTGATGTTATGCATATTGAAAAAAATGTATTTGAAAGTGTTATTGGTACATTACTCAATATAAAAAGAAAGTCTAAGGATGACCTTAAAGTAAGAAAGGACTTGATAGCGATGGGAATAAGAAATGAATTAGGACCCTTGAAGAAAGGAAAACGAACATATTTATCACCTGCTACTTATACTCTATCTAGAAAGGAGAAAAAAATATTGTGTAAGTTTCTAAGTGAAGTTAAAGTTCCTGAAGGATACTCTTCAGATATTAGAATACTTGTACCTATGAAAGACCTCAAGTTAAAGAGTTTAAAGACACATGATTTCCATGTTATAATGGAACATTTTCTACCAATAGGTATACGTTCTATTTTGCCAGAAAAAGTAAGAAGCACAATAACTAAATTGAGTTTTTTCTTCAAGTCAATTTGTAGTAAGGTGATCGATCCCGCGATCTTACCAACATTGCAAAAAGAAATAGTTATCACTTCGTGTGAGCTTGAAATGTATTTTCCTCCCTCGGTTTTTGACATAATGGCACATCTATTTGTTCATCTTGTGAAAGAGAC